CATCACCCTTATTCAGTCAAACAGCTTTAGGCATCACTCTTATTCAGTCAAACAGCTTTAGGCATCACTCTTATTCAGTCAAACAGCTTTAGGCATCACTTTTATTCTGTCAAACCGCTTTAAGCATCACTCTTATTCTGTCAAACAACTTTAAGCATACCACCGACATTAGCTGCAAGTACCATCAGTGGTACGCGTACCACAATTTGAGAATCCCTGTTGTATAATATTTCCCTCATATATCTTTAAAAATTTATTTATTTGACCATTTTGTATTTTGATAGTAGAAACACCCTGAGACACAAGGCATAATACGTGACAAGTAGCATATTGTATAATGTTGTACTTTGTTTAGGAAAACAAATATTGTTTACAGGATGATAAGCATATCAACATTGTATTAGAAGAAATATATATATATACAGACATAAAAGGATACATCGCAAACAAAACTTTCTCAGTGCTTGTTGAATAAAATCAAAATGTTCATCTTTGTAGTCATAGTCTTTTTCTAGGATGGACATATAGTCAGTCTGAAAAAGAAAAAGAGGGTAACAGTAACAAGTAAAGAAAATAATTTTATAAGAAAGTAGTGAATATTACAGTTTACAAATAAGAAGGAAACACTTGTTTAAGCTGCAATCTTTTCAGTGGCATAGCCAGGTCTTCCACTCTCATGCAGGGGGCGGGGGCAATAAATCAAAAACCTGAAATTAATCTAAATTTTTAATAACACGGTCATTAAAACAAATGAAATGTAGCAGTGTTTATAAAAGTTTTATTTTTTTATATTAAATGATATAAAATGAGTTTATTATATATGAAAGCTGAAAAATAGTATGATCAATATGCCTAGATTTTTTCAGGGGGCTATGGTTCTCCCTCTCCCACGGCTAAGCTTCTGATTATTTTTGAGAATAAGTTACACCTCTTTCAAATAAAATCTCCTGTCACCTACACATTTTAAATAATTATTTTGAATAAATTCTATTTATGGAGCAGAGCAATAAATTAGTTTTTTTCTTATTTAATGTCAAATATTACAAACCTAAGAAGTAAGAGTTACAACAAAAAGTACAAAAGCAACTAGATAAGCCTGAATAGATTAATTTCAAATGAAAAATTATTTTTCTTAATCTATTTCAAATATAATTATTTATAACAGAAAATATCTGCGTATCTATCAGTTATTTAAAATATTTTCCTTCCTTTGAGATACTCATTCATTTTATTATTCCAGTTTTCAAAGTGATAGTTTCTCTTTCAAACTGGGGCATTAGATTGTATCAAATGTCCTGAACAGTTTACCATTAATTAAACCAAAATTATTTTAAATTCCATCAAAGCTTGAGCAACAGCAACTAAGGATATAGTGATGTCACGAAACACGTAACCATACCAGAAAGAGCTGTCATTCCAAGTATTCAGAGCAAATTCCATAAACACTGAATCCTGTAGAGCATAGTAATAAGTAATTAATAAGAATGGCATGGAATAGAATACTTACTTTGGTAACAACTACAATTACATCAACTCCAAGGTTGTGGGTTAGTACATTTTCATCTAATGGTAAATTTATGGTATCTTGTTCAGGTCCTGTTCCTTTTTTTAAAGATGTTATACTGTCTACTACATCTCCTGGTTCAATATATTCTTGGAATCGTTTTAGGGCTAAAAATATAATAAATTGTATTGTTTCTAAGAATAAGAAGAAGAGAAAAAAAAAAAAACAAGTGCAAATTGTATGTATGAAACTTCTATGTTCCAATTTTGAACTCTGACCCATGGCCTTCAAAAGTTGATCCGGTATGCAAATTTGTTTGTGGTTTCTATTACATAAGTTTGGTCAAAATCGTTCCATCCAATCTTGAGACATCCTGTCCACAAAATCAGAATGGACAAGAACAAACTAATATGCCCACTCAGCTTTAAATTTCTATCTCAGACTCATCAAGTTTCAAGATAGTACCCTCGTCTTTTAATAAATATGTATTGAAAGTATACGTATATAATTAACATATACCTAAATAATACACAGCCAAATAATCCAGCAACACAGATAAAACCTAGTAAAAAAATGTCTTAAACAGGTATTTCAAGCTAAAAAAAGTTTAAAATGATATCATAAAAGGAATATCTACATACTGATTTGTTATATAAATAAAAGGAAAGCTCCTGTGGTGCCATCTGGTACCTATAAGTAGCATTTACTGAAATTCATTCTGTAAACAAAACAAAAAAAGCCTACCTTTATTCTTGAACACAATTCAATTTTTCATGGGTTTATTAGAGATTATGCTAATGCAGAAATTACACTGTTGCTTAGATAACTTTAAAGAGGCAACAATATTTATGATACCTTATGGTACATTTTCTTTTGAGAAATAAAAAAATGGTAAGTGAAAGAAATCTTTACCTCAGGGGGAGATTTTGACCTCAATGCCATGGTTTTCTTAGCACATTTGATCAAAAACTAAAATATTGATCTTTTGGAGAAGCAGTGACATTTAAAAGCAAACTTAGGCTACACTAAGTCTGTTCTAATGTGATGACCAATATTTTACAAGATCTTAAGAAGTTAAAATCCTATTTGAAATTTAAATCTTCTCCTTTCAAGAAAATGATAAATGAAAAAAAAACAAATCAGTTGAATAGTTTACTGTACATACAAACAAACTAATAAATTATTTATTATTTTATTCTTACTATATCACAGAGCACACAACTCTTAACTGTTCTTGTCATAAAATTTATAACTGTTGTGAGCACAAAGTGGTCACACTACAGCTTTCATTAGATGATTAAATTAATTAATCGACTAATTACCTATGAGCATTGATTACATCAATTTCACAAAATTATGATTCAATTGATTGATTCCATGAAAATAATCAACAAATTGAATTAGTATTTCTGGTTATTCTAACTATCCAAGCATTCAAAATATTACCATTAGGATTTCTCATTATCATTTCCAATGAATTCAGGGTTGGTTAGCTTAACTGATTAGTGTCATGACTCATGAAAATAATCAACTAGTCAAAATTATTGTTTTCAACTATTACTATTTTTGATTATTCCAACTTTCCCAGTTATACATAGAATAACCAATTAATGATCCTGCTGAATTAACAATTGGCAGATTTCACTAATCTCTCACTTTTAGTAACAGCCTTTATATATATATATTTTTGTTATACAATGATTTCTCCCTACTTTGATGCATTTATTTGTTTCTTACTACTTACCCTACACTTATCTTACATATACAACCTTTCAAACTTACATTTTCGTTTTTGTTCTTCCAAAAACTCAGGGTCTAGATTTAGCCTATCGAGGTTTTCTTCTAAGATTGCAGTCCAGTTCTCCAAAGACTCCATCATAATCCATGGCTGAGTCATAGATACTGTCAGGAGAACTGTGGTGTGGGGGAAAGTGTTTTCATTCACAACATACTTGAGGAGATTCCTGTGCCACGAGTCTCCGTCAAGAACCCACACTCCAAGACGTGTGTGATCTGAAATTTTTTAATCACTAATTACAGAAGGACTAAATTTTTTGTAAAACTTTATAATAAATAACTAGGTAATGACAGGAAGATACGATGGTTCCACATACCACAAGTTAAAATTCTTAAAAAAATAATGTTTAAAAGAAGCTCTTGTTTGCAGAATTCATATAATTTATAAGTGCTTAGCATTTAAATTTTTTGGATTTTCTTTTAAAAAATAAAACATGCATACTATACAGCAACCATTACTTATCCTGACATGGACAGACCCAATATTTAGGCTTACAGTTTAAACATTTGAAAATCATTACAGGACAGCATCTCCAATGTATGAATTCCCCAAATTTTAAGATCACATTCTTTTAGTTGAGGTCCTACATCATTCTGTCTTTTTATATCTTTTGGTAATTAAAATTAAATTTAGTTCAAAACAATAGAGAAAGAAAAGGAGAGGCAGGGAAAGGAAAATATTTTAAAGATGAAAATATCAAAATTGAAAAAGATTTAGGATGGTATGTAGTTTTTTTTCTAATGATTCTTTATTTCCACAGTTTTTTTTTTTTCATAAATGCTAATAACTTAACTGTGAAATAATTAACCTTTTCCAGACTTGGAGTGTCACTGGCATTCCTGATTTTTGGCTTCTCATATTGCAGGTATTTCATGAAACTTAGTACAAACTTACTGAATAGTATCTAGTTGCAGCTGTAAAAAATATTGAAATTTCAAAATTTTGTTGCAAGACACAATTTTTTAAATATTTCCTTTTGTCTTAAAATTTATTGTTGATCGGCAAGTTCCATTTAATATCAGCAAAAACCGATACAAATTTATTTTGACCTGTGACCTTACCTGTTACAGTGGTGTAAGGTCAAGCAAAACAAAAACAGTATTTATGCTAACAATATTCTTGGTCAAAATCCATTTTTTTCTAATAAATATAATTTCTTTTACTTATTCAGATTGTTTGAATATAATAAATAAACTTAACAATAATTTTTAATAAATACGTATCTGAGTCACTGGAATATTTTGCCATCGTCTACCGTCTCTCTAAACTTATTGTCATAAAATAAAAAGTTCAATTTAATTTAACACAAAACCATTTCCAGGAATATAAAGAACATCTAAAGAAACTCTAAGATAATTCCAGATTTGTGGTTTGTTCACAAGTCTTCTGATCTTTCCACTAAATTCTCTTTCCCACGATACCATAAGTTACTTCTCATACCACTTTATTCACTCTACCCCGATGTAAATAGTTTATAATCAACTCTATTCAAACTTTGCTTGTACCTGCTGTCAAAGCTGATTTTCATTAGTAGTTATTCACATCACATGTTCTCACAATATCAAAGAAAGAGAAGGAAATATGCATGAGAAATAAAAATTATAATCTCAAGGAATAATACTTTCTTAGCATATATAAATCTATGCTTTTGGATGGGCAGAAACATTATAAAAAAAAAGAAAACCTATAATTGTGTCATTTACAGGTGAGGGACTCCTCGGAGGTGTGCAGAAATGTAAGTTTCAACATTTGAAAAACATTTTGTTTACAAACAATACTATGTAAATCTTAGAAAATGACAAATTCTAAAATAGTTTTGAAAAAAAAATGATTGAAATAGAATCAGAATTATTAGTTTTACTAAAAGTTTGAAATTTGATAAACAGGTGTGCACTCGACATCTGAAAGGTGTTCCCATGTCCGGATTATGTAAGAATATGACATTTTTTGGAAGCAGACAGTATTATGGAAACTAACTGATATAAAATTTATTTCACAATTTAAGTTTATTCTCTATTTAATTAACATTCAATAATTTTGAAAAATTATCACAGTATCATAATTACTAACCATCCCTGTATTCATCCCTAATAAAAATATAATAATATTCTAGTCCTGAGCCCTTTTTTGGGTCTTCATTCCCTTGCAGTTTAGCAATCAGTGAAGTTTTCCCCGATTCATCATCCCCTGAAAAAGAAAAAAAAAGAAATTGGAAAAAGAACTTTAGAGCTGTACAAAGTGGTATTTAGATTTTCATGTTTACAAAATGTTAATATAGTAAGGCAAACAACATGAATAATCAGCTTTTATCACAAAGAATATGAAAATAACTTTTTAGTAACAAACTGAAGTTTTTTCTTCTACATGTATGCCCTCATATATTGTACAAACACTTACTCACTAAAGTGTATGATATCAGACAGAGAAAAATAGACCCGTTCCAGTTGTATTCATTACATATTCTCATGGCTTTCATTAATTTAACATTTGTACCTCATATATATCCCTAAATATGCTTTAATGACAAGAGACCTGTTGGACCATCTAGCCTATCCCATCTATTAAACTTTAAAATAAAATACTTAAAACCAGCCTTTATCATTAACATACTTATCAAACCTTCCTTTAAACTCCCTTAGATTAACTTCACCCTCCACATCTGAAGGGCCAACCACCCCGTTAGAAAAATAAAACTGTCTTGGTTTGAAGATGATTCCTAACCTGCAAAGATTTATATTTGTGACCCCTAGTCCTACCATTTTCAAATACGAAGATGATGCATCAAGATTATAAATTATCTTAACAATCTTAGACACCTCAATCAATCTCCTCTAACTCTTCTTTTTTTCAAGAGAAAACAATTTCAGATCTTAACCTATCCTTGTATGGCAAGTTTTTCTGTCCTCCAAACCCTTTTCAACATTTCAATGTCCTTCTTAAGGTAAGGAGCCCAAGACTGAACACGACTCCAAATGTGACCTAACCATACACAAACATATGTATTTTTGTACGATACATTTGTAAACAGGAAAAATGTATGATAAACTACCACAAACACACACACACACACATATACCACTTTTTCATAATTCTGGTAACATTGTAGGGTGATTCACAAGAATGACCCAAACATTAAAATATAATACAATCATATAAATATTTTGTCTGCACTGAAGTCATGCAGAATTTTAAGATTTATCAAACAAACAATGAAATATGAATGTAAATGTTTTGCATTGCAAGCAAACATTGCTTCAAAATGTAATAGTCCAAATAATTATTTTAAAATATATCTGTATAATCATAAGCCACTACAAAATTTTATTTATTTATATTAGGATGAAATAATTTGTGATTGAATACTAATGAAGAATAGAAATTTGAAAAAGTTTGATACATTTTTGTCAGACAAATATGTTTGGTACAAACATGTCTAAAAATACAAACCTGCAAGTATTTCAAAGCTTATTATTAAACACTGTAAAAAAATATTTTTAAATTTACCTAAAGTTAAAAGAAGTTTACACGAGGGTAGCTTGTTTGGTGAACTGGCATGAACTTGGCTCAAGATTGTTGACCTAGACAAACACACAAAAATTAAACATCAACAAAACTGAAACAAGTAATAAAACATTTATGATAGGTAAAGACAGTTTTAAATTGAAAATTCAAAGCAGAGTATGTGAGAAAAAGAAACACATCAAGCATATATATATATATAATTGCTTAGAACTGACAAAGCAAAAAAAAAGTTGAAAGAGTGTACAAACTGAACAATGAAAAAAGTTGTTTTAGAAATCAAATATATATTCTAAGGACCCATGAGTGAAAATAAACAAAAATACTTCATGTCAACCACACTACATTTGCCATATCTAGTGCCAATAAGGCTGTTTTTATTTTATCTCATTATACAAAGGTCTTTTTATAGGCTGTTTAATTAAATGTACTGGTTAAATTACCACCATAATACGAAATATTTGATGTACTTATTGGCTTCTCATTCTAGCTTGGTATTTATAAAATCACCATGAATTTTGTGGAACACATTTTTTTTTAAGAGCTAAAACTAAGTTTCCACTGTATGTGTTAATAGAGTATGTAGCAAAATGTTTTTATATATATTTAAAGTTCTAAACACTTGCTACGAGCATTGCAATATTTTCATTAAATTTCTAATGTAGACCTTGTGTTGTTAAAAGTTGAAATTACTATGAATCAAGTACTTTATGTAATCAATTTTGTGAACACATTAGTTGTATATTAAAAAAAACATATCTGGATATTTATGGTTATAGATGTGTGAGAAATGCCAAGGGTATTGTTACTTTTTTAAGAAATATGAAAGGCATTTCACCTTTTTGTTTTTTGCAATCATATAAAAAATTGTATGTTTATGAAGACTGTTTTTAACATTGATTTGTTAGTGAAAAAAAAAATATTTTTGTTTGTTTGTTGTTAAGCTCAAAGCTATACAATGGGCCAGCTGGAGTTAAAAAAAAAAAAACAATGAAAAAGTTTCAAATGTGCCTGAACAAATTTATCATATTAACTAAGAAAATTTGGAGTGCTATATGAACATAGTGAATTTTAATTAGATGTTATAAACTTTTGATGCATACTATATTAAAGCATCAAACTCAATTATGCATATTAATTTTACTCTGATAATGTTTCTCCAAAATACATTTCATTTAAACATTGGTCAAAAGTATTATTACAACAAACTATTCAACCCTATCCAATTAAAAGTAGTTTGTTACCTTGACTGATGTACATCATAATTAAAGTGTCATTTGTAAAAAAATGCTCTTACTCTTATATTCAAAAAAACCCTTTATTTTTGTTCTTGGCTTGTTTTGTAAATGTTAGGTTGAGAGCTAGCTAACACCCAGCCTTCAATAATAATTAACTGACACCACATTATGTCAATACATGTGGTAGTCGTAATGTTCTGGGTTTCTCTAATTTAAAAGTTTAAGGTGTATTTCAAACTTTTATTTCTTGGCTATATTTCTCACCTAACCCTAAATACTATGTTACATAATTTAGCTCCGAGCCATATTATATATCATTAGTTATTAACACAAACCGGCAATGCAGTTATATCTTACCTTAGTGAGTAATAAAGTTAAACAAATAATTCATAATAATATTTATTTTAATTAAATCAACGTCGCCTGGACAGATTTAGTGATTATTCATTTAATTAATGATTTATCCACATTAATACTAATAGTAATACTAAGCCTGGATAAACAATAAAAACTATTAAAGTACCCATAAAAATCATTATTATAATAATCCTGTGCGATTGTCTACTAAATATATTTTCCTAAAATAATTCTCACCAAACACTTTCGCCTTCGGTTTCATTTTTAGATTCATCTATCTGAAAATAATCTATCGTTCTCTCGCCTGTAGGCGCCATATTTGTATGAGCGAACAGATGAGGGTGGGACTTTGCAACGTCACCGCATATGATTCATCGACGTTACACCTTCGGAAAATTTAAAGTTTATACAAAATCGCAATAAACGATTTTGGTTTGTTTCTTTTAGCACAAAGCTACACAATTGGCTACATGCGCTTTATCCATCGCGGAGAATCGAATCCCGAATTTTAGCATTTTAAGTCCGTAACCTTGCCGCTGAACGCACCACTGATCGAAACCTCGTACCTGTTGTAAAAACAAATCTTCCTTACTGTAAAAGCTGTAACTTGTAATAAAATAATACTTAATCAAACTAATAAACTTTAAACGAAACTATTAAAACTTTATTTGTTATTTCTTTCATTTACCTTTAGTTTGTCTTTTTTCTGTACACAAAAGTGTTCTCCGACTAAGCTAAACTCTGTTTAGAAATATTTTTTCGGATTTTTTAAACTGACAGTTATCTATTCATAAACTTTATATACTAATATGAAAATATTCATTGCTGATCAAATATAAGTTCACTTTTAGTTTAGATAAAAAATAAACAATTATTTTATAAAGCCAATATTTCACGTTCCATAAATACACTTTAGAATACAAGTTACACATAAAGTTATTAAGAGTAATTAGTTAGAATTTAATGTTGTAAAGTGGTAAGATCCTGGTGGCTCTGCGATAAGTCTGAAGGTTTCTAAAGGGAAAAATTGGGTTTCGATACTCGCAGTAGTAGATAGCCCATTGTGTTCCTTTGCACTCAACAACAATAAAGCAAAATAGAGAGTGTAAAGTTCGTTTCTTTTGTTGAAGTTTGCGTAAATATAGTCGAGAGCTATCTGCGCTAGCTATCCCCAATTTAGAAGTGATAGACTAGAGGGAAGACAGCTAGTCAACACCACCCACCGAGATAGTAAATATGAGAAAAAGTTATAATATGGAATATTATTTTCGCGCCTACTGGCAAAATGTAATGTTTGGATAAGAGCAAGATATTAAACTTAATGACTACTTTTTAACTTGCTCAAAACAGAAATATCATAGTTCGTTGGTAGTCTTACTGTAGTTTCTATTTTTCTCTCTAGCTTAGTGCCTAACTTTAATAGCTTAACAATAACGTAATTATACTGGCAATATTGTTCACCGGAAGATCAGCAGTAAGTTCATGAACTTACAAACTCAGAGTTTGATTCTACCAGTGGACAGAGCACATATAGCCTATTGTGTGGTTTTTGCGTTATAACAAATACACAATTATTATTAAGAGAAAATGCAAATAAGACTGTAAAGAATTTCACTTGGTGTGTATCAAATGAGCCTATTTCAACTATATTTAACCAGATTTGTTACTCCTTTTGGAATCCGAATTCCAAATTTGAAAGCTTAACAATAAGGAAATTATGCAGACAATTATCGTTAAGGCAATAAAAGTTAGACAAAAAAAAAGAAAAAAGAAAGTCTTTTAGTCTCCAGATAATAGTAAAAGAAACTTTATTTCAGCCAGCGTAGTAGTACAAGAACTGCTTGATCATTATTATTAAGATAAAATGTAAATAAGAGGTATAAAGAATTCATCTGGTGTATACCAAATTATATTATTTATACAAGACTCAGATTCTAAAATAGAAGAAGAAAAAGATCTTTCTTTTTCGTAAGTAACAAAACTTACTCTTACTTGCTTATGAGATTCGAAGTCAAAGGTTACGATTCATCTTTATATATATATATATATCTCCTGTGTATTAAGCAGATGATTTGCTACTATGTTGGTCGCACATAAGTACTGTTTTCTAGTGATATCCCTAACCTCTCCTGGAAATCTTATTATTTCACACTTACGTCCTGGAGTTTCACCTTTCTAATTATTCGATGTTTTACGAGCACATTTGGGAAAATAATCCACGTATTCTTATGAAATATGTTATCTTGTTGTTTCATTAATATCGACAGCTGCAATTTGACCGTCCAGACTTTTCTCGTAATGGTTTTCCCTTATATTGTAAATATACGTGCAGTATTGTTTACTTCTCTGGAACGTTCGACTACAATATAATGCGACAAAGAACAAAGAAGGCCATCAAAGAATTTGTTCAATGCTCAAGCTTTGCAAAACGTCATTAATTTTCACGAATACCATTTAACTTCCCCTAACTTTTTTAATGTTAAAAGAAGTTAACATCGTTGTTTCTAATAATTTTGAATTAATGCTCTATGTTTAGTTCTAACTATCCATAACTACTTACCTTGTTTGAATGATAGTAGGCTTTCAATGGTATATGCAATAAGTTAACATAAATGCAAATAACTATGAAATTCCAATCTCATGACTACTGTAGCGAGTTCAATAATCTTAGGTTAGCGGGGAAATAGCGCCATCTAATGTATAAAAACGTAACCACTGAGTGAGACAAGTATTTGGTAATCCAGCCCAAGAATGAACGAAATGTATTAGACGATTTAAAGTACGTCTGTTATAAACGGGCTTAGTTTTGTTGCTTTATAGATTAATGACTTCTGAGTAAACCAAAATATTTGATTTCATATATTTCTATACTGGTTGTCTTTGTTATTTTTAAAGAAATAATAATATTTTTTTTTATGTGGCTTGCATAACACTATCATAAGCAATTAATTTACTTAGTTTAATTGCTACAAATACAATTTGGAAAAAAAGGAAGCTTATCCAAATACGAAGCATAATGAATAACCTGTTATACAGATATATACATACATGTACCTATTTATCATATATCTATATATATATTTACGTACAGCAGGCAGACAGTTCTTAATGTGAAGAGTTGCGTGTGCTTCAACCTTGTTTAATGGAATAAAAACAAAAACAATGGGAAATCTGTACTCTATCTACTGGGGATATCAAAATTGGCTTTATAAGCCCTCAGTCTGAGCCACCGAGAGCCAATAAAAATTGTAAAGGTGTCAATGAGGTTATGAAGGTGATTTTTTTATTTCTTGAATTTCTCTTAGGGCTACTTAAGAGTTACCTGCACTAGTTGTTCTTAATTTTGAAGTCATAGTATAGTCAATATCAGTCACCGTCAACTCTTGAGCTACTGTAATCGAATAGTGGAATTATTCCTCTCACTATTACGCCTCCACAGGCTCAAAGTGCATGGGGGGGGGGGGCATATGAAGATGGATATTAGTTATTCTTAATTGATGTTTCAATCGAAAGGGTAATCTAGATAATATTAAAACAGTTATAACCAGAAATGCCTTACTTATACAAAAAAATAAATGAATTAATTAAGCAAGCAAGTTTAAACTATTTCGTTAACAAAGCCTGAATTTTTGAGGCGACGATATTGTCTTAAAATATTCATCCTCCAGAAAAAGATTGTGTCTCGCCAAATACGGGATTAATGACGTATATTTTAGTAACAAAGAACAAACACATTCAAAGGCGCCCTCTAGCGTATTTTCTTTTTGACCTTTTTTTGTGAAAAAAAAAGTGTGTATAGTAATACGTTTTTCGAGACTACTCCACAATTCCAAGTCATAAAAGCGTGTGATGTTGGTGGACAATTAAGTTCCTCATTTTATAAAGTTTAACGAGCTCCATCCACCCGTCAAGCACGTAAAACAATTCAAAATGAATCATTACCCACTACCAAAAAATGTCTTTAGAATTAGGTTATTATGAACAAGTCGGGTAGAAGCTAATTAACCAGAAAAAAATAACAAAACAAGCAAAAAACATAAACTAGTTCCAAACACTTTTACTTCACAATGATGTAAAATAAAAACAGAGTAGTAGTAGACAATATAAACGTCTTTTTAATTGTAGAATTTAAAGATGTACTTATCTTAGGTTTAAATTTAATAAACTTTGTAAGGTATAATTATATATATATAGCTGAATTCTATATAGACTTGTATATTGTTAACCATTTAAGTATGCAAATATTAATTTTTCCCCTTTGCTAAGCGGCTGCATTTGTTTGTTTTATGCTAAAACAAATTAGCTGATTATAATAAAAATAAAACCGGAAATTGACATGCAACGACAAAAGTATAGTCATGAAGGTTAGGCCTTTATACCTGATATCAAATATAGGCTTCTCTAATAAGCTAGCAAAAATAATGAAATAACTATAGCTTATTTATTATTTCTTGTTTATGATTTCAAATAATACTTTGCCATCTACAGTTTTTTTTATCGTGTAACAACAATAAATATAGCCACCCCCAATTTAAAAAAGTGGTGATAAAGTATATATAAATTTCAGTCCACACAAAAAAAAACTAAGCGTTTTTTTTTGCTACCCTCTTTAATCATATTATAATTTCATTTAAAAGCAATGTGGCCTGTTTCTTATTATTTTATAAAATTATTTACACAACTTAAGTGGTTTGGATTTGTTGTGATTTAAAAAAAAATCGAGTGTTATTTATAAAACACTATTTAATTTGTAATACCATAACCTATGGGAAAATATCGTGTTATAATATTATAATACCTTTGAAAGGTTGAAGGTTGGATGCGTCAGTTTTAAAAAAATCAAGATGTACGAATATTCATGTCCTTTGCCCAAAATTTTCTAGCCTGTAACATAACAGAAATGAGCATCTAAATAAGGGTTGTATTTCGTACAAAAAACGTTTCACCACGTGACTAATTTACCCAGAAGGAAGGCAGAATAACTGCCCTCACCTAGTGACCACTAGATTTATCTTTAGTGAATTTGGGTCAGAGTTCAAGTTTACTTTATAGGTCAACGAACTTCGTATTGATGAGTGTTTACACTTCATTACCTGACTCTGGAATAAAGAATTGTTTTACATTTACTATTAACTCAGTGTTCCCACACTAATATGAATTTCATATGTTTGAAGGAAAGACTAATTAGCTCTAATATCTCCACGCAGTTTTGCTCAGTTGCAAAGTGTCTGTATTAATTTGTGAATTAATCAACTTTTTGTCTGGATAGATCTGCACTAAAACATAAAAAAATGAATAAATAACTGTTTTGATAAGAAAAAATATATGTTCATAAATGTTAAGTTTCGAACTACAAGAAAAGACTCTAGACTTCTAAACGGTGGAAATGCGTCACTTAAAGTGATGTCATTATGCCAAATTGTGGTTATTTAAATTATTTCTTGATAACTACCTAAAAAAATTAACTACGTATGCTTATTGTTCTTAGATCTACTAAGCTTAGTTTCGTGTGTTTACCGGTCTTAATTCTAATAGGTCTAGTTCGATGTTTTTATATGCACGATTAACTTCGTGTATCTCTGGTTTAGTATACTCGTTTCGTGTATTTATGGTTAGGAATTCTAATTGGCTTAGCTTCATTTACTTATGGTTCTTAAGTCTAATAATCTTAGTTTTGTGTATTTATGGTTCAATATTGTAACAAAACTCGTTTTGCGTATTATGGTTCGCAATTCTAATAGGCTAAGCTTTGTTTATTTATGTTTCTTAATTATATTTCTAATATGTTTAACTGGAATTGTGATCATGTTGTAACAAGTCCCCTGGATAATTGTTAAATTTAGTGAACACGTGCGTAACGTAGTTACCAATAACTGAACTACTTTGATTATTTTCTGCATTAAACTACCAAGTTTTTTATTTTTTAACATTTGTGAGTCATCCATTGATCCTAAACTAATCCACGGAAAATCCAATATTCAAGAGAAACGAGAAACGAACTACAACACAATATGGATAACTTGAAGCTCCAGGAAGGAAAAAAAAACTGTGCCCAAAGGGTAAATGGAGATTTTCAAGTTCAGGTTTGTTTCATCTGATTCTTACTCTGGTGCGCCAGTATTACGTAGGAGGTCCGGCATGGCCAGGTGGTTAGAGCGCTCGACTCGTAATCTGAGGGTCGTGGGTTCGAATCCCCATCACATCAAACATGCTCGCCCTTTCAGCCGTGGGGGCGTTATAATGTGACGGTCAATCCCACTATTCGTTGGTAAAAGAGTAGCCCAAGAGTTGGCGGTGGGTGGTGATGACTAGCTGCCTTCCCTCTAGTCTTACACTGCTAAATTAGGGACGGCTAGCGCAGATAGCCCTCGTGTAGCTTTGCCCGAAATTCAAAACAAACAATTACGTAGGAGGTCACAGTTGATTATGTTCAGGATGCTAAAAGTACAGAAACTTTGTATCACATGCAGGAAATCGAGAGCATGAATATTATGTAGAATATATATAGACTTATTTCTTGAATAGTGACATAAAAATATCTGGGAGGAAAGTTGTGATTTTTAAAAATGAAATAATAATGTTTAATTACAAGCGTTTACTTTTTTTTTATATAAGACAGAGAGAATCAACATTGTTCATTTATAACGTCTCTGTTGTATTGATACACAGAAATAAGGCGGTCAGAAGGTTTGACCCACACGACCGAACCAGGAAGTCAGAGTAATAGAATAAATCTCTGGTTGCATGGCTTCTGGTTTTCAAAACGGGCCAACTCCCCGTTTAACGATGAGCCGCATAATTGGAAAAAAAACAACAACAACAACAACAACAAAAAAAAAACAGATGAAGAAGAACTTATGGACATTATAACTAAGTTAACAATGCCTTACCACGAAACAATTTCGATTAAATTACACGTTAAGCGAAGCAGTGTTAATACCGATCTTCTGTGTCGTGACAATCAAGGAAACTACAATCTTCTGCACGATAGAGTTGTACTACTTAAATCTTTAATAGAAACTTTATATAAAAATATACATTGAAAGTGATAATTGTTCATGAAAATTGGCGTTATAAATTATGTTTGTCATATCTCAGGCGACCTGATGAGACCTGGTATTGGGCGAAAAGCCTCTTCGGCACTGAATTTGGTAGATGTACAGTGGTTGCCATGATATATTCTTTTTTATTCAGAAGTTTTTAGATTCATTAAGAAGAATAGTTTCATTAATGTTTGTATCAATTTATATATATTTGTTTTATTATATACAGGTTAAGCACAAAGCTACACAATGGGCTATCTGTGATCGGCCCACCACGGGTATCGAAACCCGGATATATGTATATAAGTACGATGCTTAAGTGATTTCAGGTAATGTTTCTACTCTCCTACCTTGAATTAAAGTTTACAGTTTGGTAAGACTGACAGGCTGTTCAATATGCTATATTTACATAACTACAAGATCAAAAGTAAATCCTATGTTTGGTTGAAACATTCATATTTATGATGTCACTTTCGGTCTTATGATTTCTCTGCCCCTACGATTTTTTTATTTTTATGCATTCATTGATGTATGTTTGTTTGTTTGTTTTTTGAATTTCGCGCAAAGCTACACGAGGGCTATCT